GATGCAGTCCTCCAATATATATACTATTTTTATATATTTATATAAATATTTTTGCGAGATTAAATTGAATACTTTGCGAATACTTTTTTGTGTCAATCTATTATTGGTTCAGAATACACCAACAACTGTATCAGTTTTTAACATAAATTGAGATTTGTACGATTAAGTAATATAAAAATATGCAATATAATCAAATTAAGAATAATTAATCATTAATAACACAGACTCACAAAAAAAGTACTCTGTGCTGAGATGGAGATCCAGCTATTCTTGTATTTTGAGTCGCTGAATACGAATCTGACATCAAAATAGGACTATTCAGGATAAATTTTCAAGAGTAAAGAAATGAAAAAAAATGGGTTATTTTTTTCGATCTAGATTGAAAATTTACTCTGGATGGTTCTATTTTGATGTTAGATTCGTATTCAGCGATTCAAAAGAATAGATACATAAGAATAGGATCTCCACTCCAGCACAGAGTACTTTTTTTTTGTAAGCCTGTAGTCGTTACTGTAGCAACTATTTTTGATATTTTACGAACATTGCTTCTGATCTTTAAATAGAATATAAAAATATTATATGAAGAACAAGAATAATATGTTTCATAAATTTATACTAATTATAAAAGATGAAAAGAAATGGCGATGAATTACATAATTGTTATTCGATTTTTTAATTTATATGTTTAAATTAAGAAATTATAGAATCATGTATGTGCAGTGAAATATGCAGTGAAAGAAGGTTGTAAATAAACGGAAATTATAAAAAAAGAATGCTTTATAAAAAAATGACACAGAGCTTTTCGTTATGCACTTTTAGACAAGACCTAAAGATTTTGAAAGGCTTCTGTTTACTCACCATTACTATTTTAGATTATGATATCAGAGAAAACAACACATCTTGTAAAAAGAAGAATTATATATGAATAAAAATAATTTTCAATAAAATAACATTTGCAATTAATTGATATACAAAATATATCAAACTTTCGGAGAGAAATTAAATATTATACTTATTTCTATATATTAGATGTAATAAAACGAAATCCATTATTTTTCCATTCAATTTCATGCAAAAATAATGAATTTCTTTTTACTATACCTAATACTATTAATTTGAGAGTTTATCATAACTGTAATCCTAGCTCATTTTATCTTTGATTATGCATAATTAGTTGTCACATGGTTGTTTATTAATTAAAAAAACAAAGGAAGAATTTTCGATATATTTTGCTTAATCGGTTCTATCAATTATAAGCTTCATTAAAACATATATTTTTTAATAAAAAAAAATTTTTATTGTGTATCATTTCGCTAACTTCACAATCTGAAATAATAGCGATGAAAAAGAAGCTTCAATAAATTAAAAATAAAAATTTTTAACAGAGAGAAAAATTCTAATAAATACTAATAATGTTAACTTTAATATTAAAAAAATATCTTCTTTTTTACCTACAAATTATTTGATAAATAATCAATATCTACAACTTTTACATATTTATAAATTGTATTTCTTTATGATCATTTATCAAAATAATAAAATATATGCATTTCTGAAAAGTATCAAATCATATAATCATAAAAATAAATCATTAATTTTTATTTTTCTTCATTTTTACAAATCTCATCTCTCTCTCTCTCTCTCTCTCTCTCTCTCTCTCTCTCTCTCTCTCTCTCTCTCTCTTTCATCGAAGATAATATAATTATATCTAAATTGGATTAAATATTTAACTTGTTAAGAACAGATCATACAACATATTGCCTATTATTAGCAAATTGAGTTTTATATATTAATGTAATAATTCGATTAAGTTTTTCAATGACGTAATCAGTTCATCATTATAATATCATTTGCTTCTGATAAAATACTACTTTATTTTATTGACCTTCAATAGGAGGACAACTTTGAAATTAATCTTTGTCCATAAATTATATTACGTATCTATTAAGTTCATCAGTTAAAGGAATATACTAATTTGTTTTAATCTAAATAATTATGTTAATTCTAATTACGATAATAAGCTTGCTATTACATTACTATACAACTCAATTTATTATACATATAATGCATTACATTGCTTCTGTGTGTGTGTTTTGCACTATATCAGTGTTTCTCAAAATACACACAATTCAACATTTTAGTGTTGTACTATTTTAGTGTGTACAATATTAGATATATAATAATTAAAATAAAATCTGGTTTATTGTATTTTAATATATTTATGAAAACATTTTGTAATATATTTATTTCCAAATTAAGAAAAATAAATATTGCTGAGATCGAATTAAATGTTCTGAATATTTTTTTATTATAACTTAAGGATGACACATATACAAGTGTGTGTGTGTTCGTGTGCGTGCGTGCGTGCATGCGTGTGCGCGTGTGTGTGTTCGTGTGTGTGTGTGTGTGTGTGTGTGTGTGTGTGTGTGTGTGTGTGTGCGTGCGTGCGTGCGTGCGCGTGTGTATTTAAAAATAAGAACGTTATTTAAATCTCAAAGTCATGATATAAAAAAAATGTTTTTTAAATATTCTCTTGCACAATAAAAATGCAATACCGAAACAGGAAGTTATAATTAATTATAATTTTTAAGAATCACTAATCTGGTTAAATCCTAGTTGATAATTTCTATTCTGAGAAATTTAATGTGCAAGTAGCACCTTACAGAAATTACATATTATTACAAACTTATTAAAAACTATATTTTAAAGATAACAGATCGAAGAGTGTCATGGAT